CCTCTGATTTTGAGTTAATACTTGTACAAACCTCTCCTCCTCCTGGTGCTCCGGAGATAAGCTCCAAAAAAAGGACTGGGGATGAAGAGCTTCTAAACTCTGAGCCAGCTCTTATGCAGATTCCTTTGCAGCCTGAAGAAGGTCCCTTGACCCATATATGCATTGGCTGCCTTGACTAGGGACAACCCTGGCCTTTGGGGAGCAGCTGATGAGGGTTAATTAGTCTTTTGAAAGTGTTTATTGGTGCAGACTGAAAATCAGATCCACCACCTATGATTCTGGATCCTCTAGTGGCCAATGCAAATAGTACGTAAGCTAGACTCTTGTATTCCTACTTAGCCTGGTTCTTTAGCTCTAGCAGTTGTGATTTGTGCTAAAAATCTGTGGTTTTGTCTCCCCTAGCAGACCACATGGTGGCATTTCTTATTTTAGTAATATCAGGGTTTGCAGGGTGGATCCAAGGAAATGGCAGAGGGCTTCAGATGGGAGGATGTTGTGTAACTTTGCTGGCAAGCCTGACAAACTGGGCCACAGGGTAACTCAAACGGCCTCTGTAAGCTGATGGAAGAAAATAGGTTTAATTTGAAATCGGACACTAAAGGGTTTTTCCCTAAAAAGTAATACTAATAATTTAAACAATGTAATTTTGAAGAATGGCTTTCCTCTATAAACGTGATTCCCTGCAGGCTCCTTCTAATGGAACCTAATTATAAGCTGCCACTTCTCCTTCCTCTATCAGCAGAACAGCTCTGCTTTCCAGTCCTCTAACCTTGGCATGACAAACAATCTCCTTCTAGTTCATAAATGACCCCTGGGAATCACAGAAGCTAGAGTGTTTTTGTAGCCATGAGAAAAAAGTTGGAGTCTAAGAAATTACCCATGAAACACAGGTACTCTTCTTACCCCCGGTGCTCTATATGTAATACATGCACATATATTTTCTCTTCCTGGACTCTTGGCCAACATTGGAAGCAAGCTAAATGCTGCTGAGATCCACTTGAGAAATTCTTTGCCTGTCCCACTCCTGAGCAATACCTGTTGGTGGGCTGACCTGTGATAAGGCTTTGGGATCTATGGTCAGTGAGCCATTAGCTTGTCAGGAGATCCTAGCAGGAAGGAGAATCAACATGGAAAAATGCGATAGTGCCTACAGTAGTTGCTGTAATTTCAACTGCATGCTCAGGGTACTGCAGAAGCCACAGACCTGCTGAGCATCTTTGGCAAGACAACGTACAGTAGACACCTCAAGTCACTGGAGAAGTACCATCAATGCCGCCTGTGGAAGATCTTTCGAATCCAATAGGTTGACAGACACACTAACATTAGCATCCTCTCACAAGCAAGCACCGCGAGCTTCAAGGTGATGATCATCCAACATCAACTTCACTGGCCAGCCAAGTCATCCAGATGTCCAACTCCAGACTCCCAAAGCAAGTTTTATTCTCCCAGCTCAGCCAAGGCATACGCTCAAGCAGAGAGCAGAGAAAGCACTTCAAGGATGTCCTCAAGGCCAACTTGAAAAAAATGCCACATCGACATTAACTCATGGGAGGCTATCACCCAGGACTGCCCCACATGGAGGCAGGGTCTGCTGCAAGAATATCAGTACTTTGAAACTTCATGATGACAACAGGAGACAGAAAAGTGGGAGCAGCAGTAACAGCATGTCATGGTCTGAAACAGGAATCCAAAGCCACTCACCCCATACGGAAACGTGTGCCCAAGTTCCCACAGTCCATCGATCCCAAATCAGCCTCATCTGCCATTTTTGGACCCACAGATAAGGCAGTCATAAAAGACAATCATCCACAACTGCGAGGGACTGCCAATGGTAGCTCAGTTGAACCTCTGAGTATGAGGTTATACCTCCAACTTGCCCCTCAGCCCAACCTTTCTGCAGCCTATTTAGGACATCTCTCAACTTTCGGCACAGGAAATCTGCTAGCAGCAGTCCCACAAATCTTCGTTTCCGATTTCCTGCCATCTGCATCCCTCTTCCTCCCTGTCCTGCCTGCAAGCAGAGACCGGCCTGGAAGAAGAAAATAGGAGTCAGCAGGTCAATTAATGGGGGAGCTTGGCTTTGCAAATAAGAAGCATGTTGTGGATTGCTTTGCTGTAGGCTACAAGGCAAGATGAAGACAGGGAGGGACAGTTTGTGGCTTGGCCTCACTGAGATCAACCACCAAGCTGACCCTAAATATCAGTGTAGATACACAGCAAAATGATTGTGTCCACCCTAACACTAGAGTGGGTGTAGCGAAGTTCATGCTTCCTTCCTATAGTTTGTCCAGTGTCCCTCTGTCCAGACCTCTTGGACTATATGGACTCTCCTTATTTATTATCGGTGTTTCTTTATTTTAGCCACAAAACGCCTATATCCCTTGACTTCAGTGGGCTGGGATTGAGTCCTAGAGGAGCAGCAAGGTTTTAGGGACTGCTGTGAAATGGCAATTGCCACAACAAAGGAGTCACCATCCCTGCTGGCACAGACAAGGACATTTACTTCGCTGTTGCATCTTTCATCCAGGCAGCAGGTTGCAGACGGAGCATTTATCTTATTCAGCAAAAATACCGCACCAGCCTTTTAAACATGTCTTGTGAACTGGAGAGCCCAAATCAGTAAGTTCCCGGGGAATGCACCAGTCATGCGGAAGCTTAATATACAGGAGATGCTGAGGGTGGGGGGGTAGTTTTGTTTTTTAACTTGAAAGGATGCACAGCTGGGATTTTGCCAAGCAAACTACTCGTCTTGTTCACAAAGTGAACATAAAAAAAGGGTCGCATCAGTGGTACTTTCCTGTTGGATTAGAGGATGCTACAGGAGATAATAATGTGATCAGAAAGTCCCTAAGGCAGCAGGGGGTTTGAGTAGCTACTGATGATCATTGTTGCCTCTGGGCAATGTGTTTTGGCTCATTGCATTGCTGTCTTCATTTGCATCTAGGTGAAGCCTTGCACACAGTGGCTGCCTGCTGATTGAGAAAGATGCAGCTAAGCTGCTACCGAAAACCAGTGTAAAGGGATCCTGGACTCTGCTGGGCAGGCCACATTCTCCCCTAACCCCTTTGTGCCCCAGAAACATTCCTCCTAAATCCTCACTCTTTATGGCCAGATTTGGTGCTATTCTTTAATACAGCACATTATGATGTCCCTGGCCTCCTATGGAAAATGTGGGCCCTGACCTCTCTGCTTGTTTTTCCCCTTCTGTAAAGTGGGATCAATACCTGCTCTGGCATGCAAGTGTTTTGTCCTGGACCGCAAAGGAAGTGCGATGTGTTTTCAGTCTAGCTCAATTTTACTGGCAGGTTAAGCTGTCCAAGTACATATGAGACAAGTGCCTCTGCCATGGGAGAGGTACAGCCCCACCAAGGCCAGGCACTGTATGGAGGGTTTTTGGTACTGACGGTTCATGCTCTGGGGCCTTTTCTTGGCAGCAACTCATTGCTTCATTACTGTCTTAAATGCTCTCAGTTCCTTCCAGGCTGTAAACGAGCTAAGTGGTGTATCTCAGCAAGCTGTGGTGCAGCCTCTCACCAGCATTCAGGCTTTCAAACTTCCCCCTCCCTGCTCCCCCCAGTCTTATATGCCAAAGTGTCCACAACCTCCAGCATTTCTCAGGCAGGAGCTGATGCACAAGGAAGTAATTAGCAGCAACAAAGAGAACAAGGTGACTAGAACAGAGAGCTGTAAACCCAGGTCTGCTTCTCCTCTGGGCAGCACACAGCCTGCCTTCCCTGAGACGGCTGGAGACAAAAGCCACCCCAGCTACTGTCACAGTGAGAGGAGGTGCATAGTCACGCAAGGACTAGACCAGGCAAGTGTAGAAAAATGATGACCAAAACAGTGAGAATTAGAGGATCCTTGGCAGGAGGTGTATTGTGTGTGGAACATCACTAGGAGCTGGGGTTAAGATGCATAGGAGAGATCAGGACTTGAAAACCATCACCCCAGGCTTCACATGTCCCCATGGGTAGACAGCACAAAGTGGATGTGGACCTGGTACACCCACGGGAGGCAGGAAAGCTTGTTTAGGATTAGCGCAGTGGAGCAGAGGTCTGGTATGCATGGCCTATGGACCAGCTATATCATCACTGCTTTGCGTGGCAGTGGGGTGCTCTAACAGGTCCTGGTGTTCGTGCCTCCAAAGTCACTTCTGAAAACAGCTTGGGAAAGGCCACAGCTGCCCCCTTCCCCTTCGGAGGGATGGCGGCAAAGGCCGAGCTGGTGAGGAAGGGAGGGCTTCCCTACCTCCTCTACCCTTTCGCTTCCCATCCGGCCTAGGGCGGCCATCCTAGAGGACAGTCCGGTTTTCTGCTACTCTGTCCTCTATTGATACGAAACCCAACGCCTCAATGTCCTCTTTTTCTCCCACGCCTTTATGTCCTCTCTTTTTGTCTTGAAGAAAACCAGGGCTGGCTGGGACAGTCTTGCAGAGAAAAACAGAGGACATCAAGGTGTTGGTTTCGTATCAATAGTTTCATAGTTTCTAGGGTCGGAAGGGACCTGAACAGATCATCCAGTCCAACCCCCTGGCCTGGGCAGGAGCGAGCGCTGGGATCATAACACCCCAGCCAGATATCTACCCAACCTCCTTCGAAGGCCCCCAAGAGAGAACAACCAGACGGTCACCCTAATCCGGCCCGGTGCTTCTCAAGCGACTCAAAAGAGTGAGAAGGAAGCATCCCAGGTGTGCCCCCCTAATGCAGTCAGGTGTCCGCGGCGCGGGTCTAGAGGCGAAAGGAATCAGGACTCGTGCGAGAGGAGATCTCTTTGATGAGACCAAGTTGAATTTATGCAAATATATATAAAATCCAGTCGGTGTCATCAAAGAGATCCCCTTTCCCGCGAGCCCTTTGGCGGCTGCAGCAACTCCGCGAGCAAGCAGCGGAGCATCC